TAGCGATGGAGTATCATGAAATACTGTTGTGAACCTGGTCACACATGGAATGTGAGCATAAGTGTGTGCAAATATCAGAATACAAACTGCAGTTCACTTAATGGTGTGGGTTTCATCAGTAATGACTTTACAGAACCTACACATTTAATGTGAAAAGTAAAAATAAATCTGATTCCACTGAATTCTTGTAATTATTCTTAGCTAAACAACTATAAATGAAAGTGTTCAAAACACTGATCCCTGAGGGATGCGTGCATAATTCAGACTGAGAAGTCTTTTAGGGAGCAAACTGTGTCAACCTTAAATCAATATTAGCAAAAGATGCACCAATTTTCTCGTCCATTACCTTTGGTAAGGCATACTTAGGAAACCTCATCTGGACAAATTCATTCCGTCGGTAGGACACATAGTGCTTGGTCCGATTGCCTGTGGTGACCTGGGAAATAAGCAAAAACAACAGCAACAGCATGAATAACAGTCTAACAGTTCTACAGTTATAATATAGTCAAACAGTTTTAAATTTTTTATAGACATACGACCCATAAGTATATTACTTTAAAGGGAAAGCTGCTGAATGCACTGAGATTAAAAACGAGGCAAGAGTGAAAGAGAAAACAATTTGAGTGACACAGCATCAAGAGACATATTAAGGCTGAATTCATCCAGTCATTTAAATATTGTCCTGCAGAAAAACAATCAAATGTTCAACATCTGCAAATGTCCAGCTGACTAATTGTGGAGGTGGAGGTGCACAGTTCACCATCTGTTGCCGGTGAGTCACCCTGTGCTGATAGGTAAATGCAAAGAAACTCCTGCGCATTGCACAGACCTTGGCATTCAACTCACAAATGGGTAAAAGGCTGAATCATGCTGTCGTCCTGCTGAGTGCTCAGACGATGAAAAAGCTCACATAGCACGAACCAGAATACTCAAACAGGTGATTCTACAGTTTAGCAGAGGAAGTTGGGAGAAAAGAGACCGCACTAGTGACTGACAGTGGATTGGAACAAGAGCTGAATGTGTCATATCCCAAGTGACGGGCTCAGAAATGAGTTAACCATGTTCTGAAACAGGTGAGCAGCACTGAAACTCCTTTTTTTTGTGTGTGTGTGTGTGTTTAAAAAAAAAACATTTTTTCTTTGTCAAAATAAAAAGGAAAGGTTTATAACTTTGCATTCAGTGCTTCTATTTTTGACTTTGCCTTTTTTCCCTTCATGGAGATGTCAGTCTCTGTCATCTGAGTTCAGACTGAGCTGTGATTATTGCCATTGCTTGTGATTGAAAGGAGCAGGTAAGTTCCACTTTTCTTTAATGATAAGCATTGCAGAGGGATCAAACAAAAAAAGCCATTTTTAAAAAATGAGAGCTACTGAAGAAAGTGTCATGGACTGAGGTTTCAAAAGGAATCACTTTCTAAAGGACGGCTGGCAGAGTGGGATGAGAGCTGCATTCTCAGCTCTGACTCTGCATATTTATGTAGTGCCTTAATGTTGGAAAAGTACCCCGAAGATCTGTTTATACCATTAAGATTTTTTTTTTTTTTTTGGACAAAATTTATACAAAGAGCCAGAGTTTCTTGTGTTTGTGAAACTTGTGTGAATAGCTGAATGTCAGAGGTTCAGTACTTCATTGCAAATCAATAAACTTGTCAGTTTCAGAAAGAAATGTTTTGGGTGAACCCCCAGCAGCTGAAAGGATTAGGACTGCAGGCTGCCAGTTGTTGAAAACGCCTTCACTTAAAATAACAAACAGGAAACCAGCAAACTAAATGAAACCCAAAATCATAATAAAAGAACAGAGCACAGTAAGGAACATGTGAACAAGAAGTTACTAGACAACAACCAACCAACTGAAGGAAGGGTTAAAACAAACAGGTGAACTTAATGAACAATGAAGGGCTTTAAAAAACTGAAAACCTCACGAGAAATGTTCACCACATAACCGCACACTGAAAGGAGAAAAAATTTAAAAAAAAAAAGACTGACAAAGCACATGAAAAGCTGGCAATGCAAGTGACAAGATGTATTTGGTCTATCATCACCTCCAGTTTTTTTTTTCTTTGTCTATATGTACCTTGTTTTAGTTTCTGTACTCAGTATAGAGACTTGTGTTTAGGTATCATAATCCACAACACACTTTTTACATTAATTCTCAAAGTGTGGAGCTCTGAAAACTAATTTTCCAAAAGGTATTCCATTATTTGCTGTTCTGGACGCTTTCAAATCTACATAGTTATTCAGTTAGGTTTGAGATTATTCTAATTAGGACCTCATAGATTAAAGGTGACCAGTCAGAGCACTTTGTATCGTACTGTATTGTATTGTATTGTACTTGATTCATGCTCAATCATCCAGGTAAGTCGATCACAAAAGGTTGATTCTGTTCATCTGGACGTAGCGTTTTCAGTGGAAGAAACGTTTCATCACTCATCCAAGTGACTTCTTCAGTCTCAGTTGACTGCAGGTTTCCCCAGCCGTATAAACACTACATTTGCACAATAACTGAAACCATCTTTTGCCATCTTACAAAGCTGTGATTGCAGCCATTCCCCAACTCTCTCTGTTAATGGTATTCATGGCCTTTGATCAATGGGTTTTGATCAGTTATTGATCAATGGTTATGATAATTTTCATATTAATGATCAAGGAACAGACCTCACCTTATAAAGTTGGGGATGAAAGTATCAACAAGTACTTTAAAGGGAAAGTGACACATGCAGTAAATGTTCGCACACATACATCACTCACAGAACTGCCAGGTGTTGGGTTTCATTATAGGCAAACACGTAAGAACTGCTAGTAAAGATTGTTTGAGGTGTTGTTCTTCAAACCTGATATCTGTATGTAATGCTTGAAATATTAGGAGGATTATCCCTTAAGGATAATGGGCCAGTCTACAGTGACCTGATGAGTTTTCATTTTTCTCACAGATGCAAACACTCATGCACACATAACTTTACACATAGGGGGACAACACCCAGAGAGAGCAACTTTGTCCCACTGTGGAGATTGTCCTCTAGCATACCAGCTCATGTCTATTCTCCATGCAAATAGAATTGAACTATTGGCCACTGCAGAGTGTGCAGTACTGTACTACATGGCAAATCAATTATAGACAAGATTAATTCCGCACACTATCACAAATAGAAATTCTTTTTCCATTTCAAGTGACAGCACTGTATGTTATCTGGGCAGCAAGAGTTTATCAGTAAAACAGGCATAAAGCTGCAAATTCAGCTGTAAGCGCAAACACAACTACAACTGAATAGATACACTGACAGATACAACATATACACAAATGCTGAAAGAGAAATAACTGGGGAGATGCAGGTTTAAAAAAAAAAAAACTTGCTCAGTTTTTCCTTACTAGTATTATGTATATAGAACTATCTCATAGTATAAGACTTTAACTTTGTTGTTTATTGCTTTTTTATTGTAGACTGTAGTAATTTTATTCTTTTATTCTGCTGATTTAAAGCAACAGTTTCTCTCGTGGGATCATTAAAGTATCTATCTACAGAGTGCTGGAAAGTAAATGCAACAAAAGCCACAGTATAGGTGCCTCTGCCTCGACCCTTGGAGGCTGCCTAGATTTTGGGTCCACTTTAGAGACGTACAGTACAAAGAATGTATCAGTGAGGAGACAAGTTTTGTTTCTGGCAAAAAAGAGGAAGAAAATAGAAGTTTTCACTATTTCACTAAGCTCGGGAAAAGATCATAATATCAATCATAATTTTTTCCCGAGACCTATGCATAACCTGAAATCTCCATTTGACTGTAATGCAGACTATATGATTATAATTCTGATAACACTCTAGCTTAAAATAATGTTTAAGCTTGGCTAAGCTATGCAATTTATCAGTATCACATCTTGAACACCCTGTGATCTATAAAATGATGGCCTCTACGGTTGACTGACCAACGGATAATCCTCCTTTTGAAGTTCAGTTACTGTTTTCTAGCTCACCCCTGCATTTCCTGTCTCATGTTTTCCATATCATATAGCTTAGTGGTCAGGTTGCTGTTTGCATGTTCTTCCCATGTCTTTGTGGGTTCTCTCCAGGTACTCTGGCTTCCTTCCACAGTTCAAAGGGTTATTGAGTGATTCTAAATTGCCCATAAGTGTGAATGTGGATCAACATGGTTGTCTGTCTCTCTGTGTTAGCCCTGAAACCTGTTTGCGGTTGCAGGGCTGGAATAGGGTCCAGACTTCCTGAATTGGACAGGCAGAGGAGAACAGATGGACTATATGATCATGCAAATGCATAGGTGTACACATTTCCTCTCCCACAACACAAATAGTATTTATTAAATGTGTACAAAAATGCTGTCTACTGTGTGAAAAGCTGAATGAGTTCAAATAGAACAAAGACAAAACAATAACCTGCAACACGAGACATTAAAATAGAATTTGAAACCATCAGAGGAGCAATTCCTGTCTTCTCATTAATGCAGCAGTCAGATGTAATGTTGAGAATATTAGGTGCTGTGGAATCTAACAAATGCATCAGACAAAATGGAGTGGATACGTGACAGGATTTAAAATTTAGTTTGAATAGAATGGCAGTAGTCTGGAATATGAGAGAAGATAAGTGACATTTATATAGCACAGTGTTTCAAAGTGTAAAATAAAAACATTCATGCACATGTATTCCTCTTTTACCTTGACAAATACGTAGTCATCCTGCACCAGCAGTGAGTTGTGATCAATTTTTCCAAGGAACTGTGCTGTCACCATTTTGTCCGAGCAGTTCTGAATGAGGCAGGTGACATACAAGTAGCCTGGAGTGACATGGACAGCAACAGGACAGGAAACAGTGACACAGTCAGGAAACAGGAAGGGATAATTACTGCTGGAAATTTTAAACAAAACACATTGGCATTCTAGAATATCCTGTTAATAATTGCAATGCATCTTTGTAATTTCTGCCCCCACACCCTTGAACAGGTCCAGGCAGATCATGGATCCTCTCTGTGCCTTGCTCTGCCTGACGTCTCTTCCTGTTAAAAGTTCTTCCTTCCCACTGTCACCAAGGGCTTGCTTACCAGATGGTTGGTTTTCACTTTTGTTGGCCCATAAAGTCCCTCAACTGGACTATTTTGAAAACACATTATAAAACTGAATAAAATATAGTGTAAAATATATTTTTTATTACGTCTCAGCTACTTAATATCTGATGTGTTTAAATGTGTTGTAAAAATAAAGTAACTTAACTTGAGTAGGTTGAATATTCACAGAGATTTATGATTATTCAAACAGCATTCACAGTAATGGTACTTATACTGTACATTGAAGCTAAATACAACTATAGCTTTTAGCTGACATAATAAAAACTGTGTAATCTATGTTAAGTAGAGAAAGTAAAAGAGAAAAGGCTCAAGAAGGGGAAAAAAATAGGATAGAATACAATAGAAATAAGGATAAGCTGAAGACTGCAGCTTCTGCTTTTCTGTGGCTGGCTGTTAGAGGGAGTGGAAGAAAATGTATGAGAGGAAAAACTAGGCGAAAAGAAAAATGGAGACATCATTTTCCAGACTCTATAAGATATGACAGCTTCCCCATAGACATACAGTCGTTCTAGGATCCAAATGGCCAGGAGGGATTACCCTCACACAGGCACACAGAGAGGCTAGCGCATGGTGCAAAGCTCAACCACTATTGAATTTCAACCAGCAGCTGCATCAGCAGCATCGACTCCTGAAATTCAGCCGCTATGTTCCCCCCAAAGGTGACAAGCTGGCAATAGAGAAAATACACACACACACACACA